GTGAGAACCGTTTTTTATGCTATTTTTAATTGTGTATGATGCTATTTTTCATATTAGATGATGCTATCATTTTTACAAGTGCTACCAAAAAATGTGTTGCTATTTTTAATAAAATTCATTTTGGTTAAAAATAGCATCAAACACAATCAATCATAGCACTACGTCCAAATAAAAATAGCGGTTCTCACGGTTCTCACACTAAGTCTTGGTTCTCATTTGAACCACATCATATATATATATATATATATATATATATATATATATATATATATACTCATGCAATTATATGTCATATTTTTGTTTATATTCTTTGTAGAGTGATATTTTTTTTTCTGAAAATATAAATATTTACTCAATATATATGGTTGTCTAACAATGACCTTATTACACTGTTGCTTACTAAATGCGACACTTTGCATGCATGGAGTTTTTAATATGCACTACACATAGAACATATATTTAATTTTGATAAACGTAAATACTTTGCATGTGGATAGATTCATTATTAATTAATACGTAGCATACATAATAATCTATTGGTTTCGTGTTTGGAGTTGATGTCTCTTTCTCCACCTTTGTACCCAATGCAATTATATATGCTTGGACATTCACTATGTTTAGGAGTGCAAACGAGTCAAACTGAGCTCAAACTCATGGTACTCGAGTTTGAGTTCGATCATTTAACGAGCCGAAACGAATTCGGTGAATGAGCTAGTAGTCAAGTTCGAGTTCGATTTGTTTATGAATATTAACTAGCAAATCTCAAGCCTTACAGAATTGAACTATAGAAATTATAACAAAAAAAAATTCAAAATATAGAAAATTATATATATAAAAAAAACATCTTTCGAGCTTTAACGAGTTGACCCAAGCCAAATCAGTCTCTTTGACTAAATAGACTTTCAATGAGCTAGAAAATAAACGAGCCGAACAGAACTCGAGTTTAGGAGCGGCTCATTTGATTTAACAACTAAAGTTTTAACTATCCACATTAATTTCATATGTCCAAAATTGTCACAAACTTATCACATTTTAACCGCGAGTTTTATTTACAAATGAAAGTGAAGTTCAATAATGCGATTTTACTTTAGTATCAATGCTCTCCTTAAGCATGAGGGAATTTCTTGTAGAAGAAAGTATTCCTTCTTGCGAGGCTCAATAATAATAGGGAAAAATAGTTGGTAACATATCTTATTTAGGCCTTTAGAACGCGGTTTTAGTTGGTTGACGTGATTCGTGTGTTATTTGACTTATTGCACGTACAATGAGCTTTTTAACTCAGTGGGTACCATATTATATATTTAGGGATGACTTCACATTTTCTGCGGCACCATCTTCTTTTTAATTAAAAATAATAAAAACCCTAAAATCTTGTTCTATTTCTAACTTATATTCTTTATAATCTTCACCAGTTATATTGGCAAATTGAATAAAACAAGTAAATAAAGATTAAAATTTAGAATTGATAAAATTAATGGTGTCCGATGAGTAGTACACCGTGAGTTCTCCAATTATTATATGTTAAAAAACTAAGGTATTTATAAAGTAAAGGGTCCTTCTTTTTAGGGTTGTAGTATCATAATAGTTAATTTTTCGAATTGTATAAGCGGTTTGCAAATAATTGTTTCGTAAATAACAATTTATATAATTGTTTTAGAAATATTATGTTAACATAATATTCTACAGATCATCTATTCTCAAAACTCTTCTATATATATTAAAGTTCTTTCGGCCAAAACGTTAATAAAGTAAGTTCTTTAAACTGCAGCCGCTTTCTTTTGAACGGAATTGACACAAAATATATATTATTATACCAATTTTCAACCACAAAATGTTAGTGGAAGAAAGTGAAAGACAAAAAATAAAACTACATTTTCCCTGGTCAAGTAAAAAGAAGAATGCATATGTTATTTTTCTTTTAATAA